TTTTTTTTTTTTAACAGAGTCTTGCTCTGTCACTTAGGCTGGAGTGTAGTGGTGCGATCTCAGATCACTGCAACCTCCATCTCCTGAGTTCAAACAATTCTCATGCCTCAGCCTCCTGAGTAGCTGGGATTACAGGTGCACACCATCATGCCCAGCTAACTTTTGTATTTTTAGTAGAGATAGGGTTTCACCATGTTGGCCAGGCTGGTCTCGAACTCCTGGCCTCAAGTGATCTGCCCGCCTCGGCCTCCCAAAGTGCTGGGATTACAGGCATGCATCACCACACCTGGCCCTTGCTGGGGCTTTTTGATACTCTCTAGCAGGGGAAACGGTAGGGGGTGCTTCCTCATTGCTGCTGGGTGGATCCTACCTCTACCAGGTTCCTCACTTAGCCTCTGTTGACACTCCAGGGGATGCACTGTTGGGAAGGCTCCTCACTTGTTCTCCACTGACACTGTAGTGGGAGTGGCCTCATTACCACCAGATGACTGTGAAAGTCCTGACTCTCTACTAGGCCTCTTCTGACACCACTCAATGGGAAGGCATTGTGGGGTCATGTTAATACCAGGTAGAAGCCCAGGTTCCTCACATTGTCTCCACTGACACTGTGATAGTGGTGGCCTCATTACCACTAATGATGGTGAAAGTGTTTAGTTTCCACTGGGCCTCTTCTGATGCTACATATGGTCTCCACTGACACTGCAGGATAGGGAGCCTCATTACAGGCCAGTGGGGATGAAAGTTCCAGCTCTCTATTTGCCCTTCTCTAACACCACCCAAGAAGGCATATTGGACACCTTATTATAGCCTTGTAAGGGTGGAAGTATAGGCTCCCCACTCAGCCTTTGTTGGCATGGATGAGATTGGGTCAGCTTTTGCTTCAGTGTTGGCTACAGTAGAATGATTATTGTCTAATAATGTTCTGTCTTGATAGGCTGCCCATTTACTGGTTCTTTGGCTAGAGATAGCAGGCTTTTATTGGGGCATCTTTTTTCTCTGCACTGTTAGCATTTCTGAGTTGTTGGCATCTTAAGCACCAAGTTTAAATTATATGAGGCAAAGAAACTGAGGGAGCTCACCACCATTTTGTTCCTCAAGTCCGGAGGGCCCTGACTAGTCTGCCGCCTTCTCTCCATCCCTCAGAGTTTTCTAGTGTTTGTTTTATGTATAATATCCAGGATTTCTAGTTGCACTTAGTGGAAGGAATAGGAAAAGTATCTCTACTAGATCTTTCTAGAAGCAGAAGTCCTCCATGGCTATCTTTAACCAGTTCCCCCTGTGAGGGGTTGAACTGTGTTCCTGTATCCCCATTTACTGGCTAAGGACCCACTCCAAACAACCCAGCTATCCAGAGCCATGGCACTGCTACTGGGCTACATTTGAGTACTGACATTTCCTAGAACCTAAATAAAATATTAACACAGTTACTCCAGCAACACATTAAGACAATATTCTTTGTTCAAGTAGACTTTATTCTAAGGGTATAAGGATGGTTGATAATCATATAATTATATGACTGCATTAATAGGTCAAAGGAGGGAAAATCCATCTAATCACTCCATAATGCAAAAATAGGCAATTGATAAGAATTCAACATGTTGGCCAGGTGCAGTGGCTCGTGCCTATAATTCCAGCACTTTGGGAGGCCGAGGTGGGCAGATAATCTGAGGTAAGGATTTCAAGGCCAGCCTGACCAACATGAAGAAACCCCATCTCTACTAAAAATACAAAATAAGTCAAGCGTGGTGGCACATGCCTATAGTCCCAGCTACTAGGGAGCCTGAGACAGGAGAATCACTTGAACCCTGGAGGCAGAGGTTGCAGTGAGCTGAGATCGCGCCATTGCACTCCAGCCCAGGCAACAAGAGCGAAACTCCGTCTTGAAAAAAATAAATAAATAATAATAATAATAATAATAATTCAACATGCTTTCTGAAGAAATTCTTCAGAAAATGAAAATTAATGAATTATTCCTTTAAACAATTTAAAAATTCATATGTCCAATCAAAATTCAAAATTATGCTTAGTGAGACACCAGAATAATTCCTATCAAAATTAGAATTGTTTATTTCACCTCTATTATTTGACATTGTTCTGGGATTACTAGCCAATGAAATGGGCATGAATATAAAATAAGTAACAATTCCTAGCAACTATATTCTTATTCCATGTCCTTTCACCATATCATTTCTCCTTGCAGTTGATATTAACTGTAAGATTGCTTAATTAGTTCCCTAGCCCCAACAGTTATTCTGGCTTTCTTCCCACCCACCTGTCTTGCTGAGGTCTCAAGCATGCTTCATCATTCAAATGATGAGAATTATGATCAGGGCCATGTCTGAAACACTTTGTATTCCTAATGCTGAGAAAATAGTAGAGCCTCAGTGAGTATTTTCAGATTACTAATTTAAAATGTGATACTAAAAATTGAAATGTATATGTCACATATCACTTGAACCCAGGAGGCAGAGGTTGCAGTGAGCCAAGATCGCGCCACTGCACTCCATCCTGGGCGACAGAATGAGATTCTGTCTCCAAAAAAAAAAAGAAATGTATATGTCACATGAAGGCAAGGCAGCAGTAATTTTGTCTTGTTAAGGTTTGTTCAGAATCTAACACATTGTGGTTATACAGTATTTAACATCAATTTTTGTGATGAGATCAAAATAGCATATCCTAGAACTCTCAATATTTTTTAATTGGCATTTGGCCAAATCATAATAGTTTTTATATCTTAGGCCTCCAGCTGAAAATCCTTTGGATATTCTAAAATATTCTGAAAACCTCAATGATTCAAGAAAGCAATCAACAGAGTGAAGAGACAACCTGTGCAATGGAAGAAAATTCTGCAAACTATGCATCTGATAAGTATCCAACAGCATTGGATACTAACATAGCATAAGGACTCAACCCAACAACAAGAAAACAAATAACCTGATTTTAAAATGGACAAAAGACCTGAAAAGATTTCTCAAAAGAAAACATACAGATGGCCAACAGGCATATGAAAAAATGTTCAACATCACTAATCATCAGGGAAATGCAAATTGAAACCACAGTGACCTGTCATCTGTCACTCGTTAGGATGGCTATTATCAAAAAGACAAGAGATAACAAAAGTTAGAATATGAAGAAAAGAGAACACTTGTACCCTGTTGATGGCAACATAAATTAGTACAGAAATTATGAAAAACAGGATGGAGATTCCTCAAAAAATTAAAAATAGAACTACCATATGATCCAGCAATTCAACTTCTCGGTATATATCTGAAGGAAATGAAGTCACTGTGTCAGAGAGATATCTGCACTCCCATGTTTATTGCAGCATTACTCACAATAGTCAAGACACAGAATCAACCTTGGTGTCCATCAGTAGATGAATGAATAAAGAAAATGTGGTATACATACACAATGGAGTACCATACAGCCTTTAAAAAAGAAGGAAATCCTGTTATTTGTGACAACACGGATGAACCTGAAAGATATGCTAACTGAAATAAGCCAGGCACAGAAAGACAAATACCACATTATCTCACTTATATGTGGAACCTTTTTTTTTTTTTTTTTTTTTTAAGTGAAACTCATAGAAGCAAGGGTATAGAATAATGGTTACCAGGAGGCTGGGTGGAGAGTGGGGGGAGAGATGGGGTTGGGGAGATGTCAGTCAAAGTATATAAAATGTCAGACAGTAGGAATAAGTTCAAGCTGTACAATGTTGTACAACATGGTGACTATAGTTAATAACAATGTATTGTATACTTCAAAATAGCTGATAGTAAATTTTAAACATGGGAGCAGAATATATGCTTGCCCTTTTACTCCTATTGTTTCTAAATTTAGCTGAAAACTGTATGCAGTAGGTTAATCAGAGATTAATTTTTTTAATAATTTTTTTTGAGACAGGGTCTCACTCTGTTGCCCAGGCAGGAGTGCAGTTGTGGGATCATGGCTCACTGCAGTCTTGTCCTCCTGGGCTTATGCAATCCTCCCAGCTCAGTCTCCTGAGTAGCTGGGACCACAGGCACATGCCTGTGCCTGGCTACTATTTTTTTTTTTTTTGAGACAGAGTTTCACTCTTGTTTCCTAGGCTGGAGTGCAATGGTGCAGTATCAGCTCACTGCAACCTCCGCCTCCTGGGTTCAAGCGAGTCTTCTGCCTCAGCCTCCTGAATAGCTGGGATTACAGGCACCTGCCACCATGTCCACCTAATTTTTGTATTTTTAGTAGAGACTGGGTTTTGCCATAGTGACCAGGCTGGTCTTGAACGCCTGACCTCAGGTGATCTGCCCGCCTCGGCCTCCCAAAGTGCCGGGATTACAGGCGTGAACCACCACGCCTGGCCATTTTGAAAAATTTTTTTGTAGAGAAAATTGTTATGTTGCCGAGGCTGGTCTCAAACTCCTAGGCTTGAACCAATCCTCCCACCTTGGCCTTCCAAAGTGCTGGGATTACAGGCATGAACCACCTTGCCCAGTCAAGAGATTATTTTTAAATTTTTATTTCTCTTTGAGACAGGGTCTCACTTTGTTGCCCAAGCTGGAGTGCAGTGGTGTCATTTCAGCTCACCGCGACCTCCACCTCCCAGGTTCAAGCAATCCTCCTGCCTCAGCCTCTGGAGTAGCTGGGACTACAGGTATGCCCCACTACTCCTGGCTAAATTTTTTTTTTTTTTTTTTTTTTTTTTTTTTTTGGAGATGGGGTTCACCATGTTGGCCAGGCTGGTCTTGAACTCCTGACCTCAGGTGATCTGCCTGCCTCAACCTCCCAAAATGCTGGGATTACAGGCGCGAGCCACCGGACCTAGTGAGATTAATTTTTTAAGTTAAGTTACCTCAAATTAATTTGTTCTTTTCCACAGGAAATTTTTAGTGCAGCCCTGTGCACATCTAACGCTCTCAACTTAGTTGTGACAATGGATAAATCCTGCAACAAATCTGACATCCCTTGACCAAAAGCAAGTACGAAAATTTTTTTGACATCATATCTAGTTTAAATTTTACCTCTGTTCCAGAATGTTTATCTCTGATAACATCCATCTGTCTCTTAAATAGTTCTAATACAGCATTGTAGACCAGTTCGTATTGTTCCTGAAGAGCATCACAACCCAGAACAAATGAAAACAAAAAGAAAAAAAATGGTGAACTGCAGGACCAGATTTTAGGAATTTGAACACCAATCAAATCCTAATATAGCAGACCCAAAAGGACAATCAGCATGTTATTAAACTTACTAACAATGCCTTATGCTTGCATAGTTCACTTCAGATTTCAAAGCACTTTTATGCTGCTGAAAATAGCTATTTGATACACCTGTAACTAATGTACAAGAATCTTATGACTTGTTTCTTTTATGTTCTAACCCTACTTTCTTATCTTTCTCTCCGTCATTCCTCTAATTCTGTTTCCCTTGCTCATATTAAAAAAAAAAAAAAATGTATTTCATTCTAGATGGATTTTTTGTAAGCAACCTTCATCTTTTCTGGAAAAAGAGATAGTAGTTGGTGTATAGATAGGTAACTTCAATGTATACGCTTTAATTTGGTCCTCTTAATTGCTCTATAAAGTAGATAGGCTATTATACCTATTTACAAACAGTTTATCCCAGGTCATTCAGAAGGAATTTCCAGGACTTGACGCAGAAACTTAATTTCCACACTCTTAGTTCAGTGCATTTAGATAAAGTTGCTAAAATTTTGTCCTAGTAAAGATACCAAAGAAAAGTAAACCACTAAATAAGGTTTGGAAATTTGTGGTTACTAAAGGATTTCACCATAGAGAAATGAGACCTCTACTATTACAAGGTTTACGAGTTATTACTATTCTGTTTTAGCCTGTACTTGCTCAAGCACTTAATTCTGAACCTACTTTTTATCTGAATGGGCCTAGTCAGAGTTTTCCCTGGCACTTTACACATTTCTGTACAAATAATGAACAATATTTTTTCAAAGATAATTTTAGCAAGAAACAATGCAGAGTCTGTATCATCCAACACAGTCATTAGTATGCTCTTTAATTTTTTTTTTTTTTTTTTTTTGAGACATGGTCTCACCATGTTGCCCAGGTTGGAGTGCAGTGATGCAATTTCGGCTTACTACAGCCTTGACCTCCCAGGCTCAAGTGATGCTCCCACCTCAGTCTCCCAAGTAAGTTGGGACTGCAGGCACCTGCCACTACACCCTGCTAATCTTTGTATTTTTTGTAGAGACAAGGTCTCACTATGTTGCGCAGGCTGGTTTTGAACTCCTGAGCTCAAGCGATCCACCTGCCTCAGCCTCCCAAAGTGCGGGGGTTATAGGCATGAGCCACCACATCTGGCTAATTTTTTTAAGAAAGAAAAATCAGGGCCGGGCAAGGTGGCTCACGCCTGTAATCCCAGCACTTTGGGAGGCTGAGGCAGGCGGATCACGAAGTCAGGAGTTCAAGACCAGCCTGGCCAGCATGGTGAAACTCCATCTCCACTACAAACACAAAAAATTAGCTAAGCATGGTGGCACGTGCCCGTAGTCCCACCTACTCAGGAGGCTGAGGCAGGAGAATTGCTTGAAACTGGCAGGTGGAGGTTGCACTGAGCCGAGATCGTGCCATTGCACTCCAGCCTGAGTGACAGAGTGAAAGTCCGTCTCAAAAAAAAAAAAAAAAAAGAAAAGAAAAGAAAGAAAAATCAGACAGGAAGCTCTCATCTGGTTACAGTGCCATTTCCTGGTTAGAGTAGCGTCAGAAAAAACAGCTAAAACTGTTAAATTCAGTTAGTTGTTTGATAATGCCAAAATGTGAAGGCTTTTTCAGCTGTCTTCCAACTCTTAAAAGTAGACCTGAAATGGAATTTGTTTTTGAAATGGAGTATAGTTTTATTAAATAAGTATTGCAATTTATGTAACTAGATTCCATACTTCTGGAATCTTTATGCATTTACATGGATCAGCCTTCTTTCAAGTCTGACAGCATTAAACCAGCTAATGCTTTCACTTCATATAAGCTTTCTCCCTCACAGGTTGAATATAGAAAACACCTACACTCAGCACATGAAAAGTTATTTTTTTCCACCAGCTGTTAGTGGAAAACCTGTGGAGGCCAGTTTTATATTATAATAGCTCTTTATTTTTTCCCTTTAATTAACAACTTCTAGACTAAAATATCTGAATTGCCATTGTCAGTGGTTTTACCTCTAAAACTATTTGCATCTTCATTTCTAAGTGTCTTAAACACTTTAAGGTCTTGCTATTTAAGTAGTTAAAAGTAGTTCTAACAGATTACACAAAAGTGCCTGTTAATAAACATCAATATACATTTGATGAATGAATGGGTCAATTCTAAATTCTATATTAAAAGTGAATACCGCTTAGAAAACTAAAACTGTTGGGTAAAACTATTGGTGTAGAAATGTGAGTGAAATTAATATTGTAGACAGTGAGAGATTTGAGCTAGGAGGAGAAGGGAAGAGCATTCCTAATGGAATGAACAAGTGTGGGCATTCTGGGATAGGTTAAAAGATTGTGATACATAAATATAGTGTGATTATAATATATACATATATATATATATTTTTTTTTTTTTTTTTTTTTGAGACAGAGTCTCACTCTGTTGCCCAGGCTGGAGTGCAGTGGTGTGATCTCGCCCACTGCAACCTCTACCTCACAGGTTCAAGCAATTCTCCTGCCTCAGCCTCCCGAGTAGCTGGGGTTGCAGGTGGCTGCCACCATGTCCAGCTAATTTTTATATTTTCAGTAGAGATGAGGTTTCAGCATATTGGTCAGGCTGGTCTCAAACCCCTGACCTCAGGTGATCCACCCACATCAGCCTCCCAAAGTGCTGGGATTACAGGTGTTAGCAACCGTGCCTGGCCCAATTATGTTTTTTTAAAAAAGTATGCATGCAATAAGAATCAGGAGAAACTATAGAAAAATAGTAATAGTGGCTATCTCTAGGTAATAGGAATATATTTTTAATTTTTATTTTTCAGTGTTTCCTAAAATGAGCACATAGACTGAATTCTCCATATTCTGTTACCACATCCTGAGGTAGAAATTATAAATCCCTGATTTTCTATGCTTTCAGAGATGAATTTTATCACTACAAAATTTATCACTACAAAAGTTAACATGGCCTAGCTATTTCAAGTTCACAAGTCAAACAGTTTGTTGACTAGTTTTACAACATCCTTTGTAAGGAAGTAAGTAATATTACATTGGTGTCTTAATATTTTCTGAACAGACAGTAAAATAAGGAATGAAAGGAATTTGACCCAGGACAAGGGATACAGGAAAAATATTGGGATATTCAGAGTTACAGAAAATGGCAATGGACTCTAGAGCACGTAATAGTAAATTGGTGTTATATCTGAGCAGTCAGCTGTTTTTGGATGTCTCACCATTAAACATAGAGATGGAGCAAGACTCAGACACACTTTCTGATCCATTCACTACAGTTCATACCTGAGTTTGAACTAATGAAGGCCTCTGTGTCCGCATTTCCTGGATCAAACTGAAAACACTGAAGTTCTCAGGAATTATCTATCAAATTAAAGGGGAAAATATCTTATTCCTTTCAATACTTTGTTAATAAATTATTGCTACTTTTTCATAGTCTTGTACTTCCATGGCATCTGCTCTTGTAACATGAGGTAATATCAGAAAAAATGATGCATTTTTAAAACAAATGAGGTTTCTTATCACTTGCAACATGATTTAAAGCCTGGTATTTTCCCTAGAAAAGACTAAAGAAACTCTTTAGAATGATTTCACACGGTGTAACCAAATTTCTAAAACTATAGATATAATGAGGGACAAGATCCAGTAGATGCACAAGTATGAGAGTTGTATAAAATAAGAGATTGGTAGATAGGTCTAAAGGCCATATTTTAAACTTCCTATTAGACATTAAAAAATGATTTATAGATTGGAACGTAAAGTATGATTGCAGTAAGTTGAGTCCATCTATTAAAGCAGTTTGGATAAAGAAAGGGTAACTATATAATTTAGGACAGTGTTCCTCAAACTTTATCATGCATCACAATCACCTGGACAGCTTGCTGGGCCCCCATCTCTAGAGATACGATTCAATTCAATGGGGCCCAGTAATTTGCCTTCACCTTAGGTTAGGTGCACCTAACCCCCTTGGGCTTCAACCCCTACATTATTGGAATCTCCAAAGATGGGAAAACAAACATTAAAGGATATATAAATTACAGACTTTCTGGGAGTCTGAAAAAGTAGAAATAGAAATCTTTGACCTGTTTTCAATATTTCACAAGAACTAACAGAAATTATATGTCTACTAAAACAGCTGCACAAGCTAAGTGAAATACCTGGTTTCCTTGGGTTTTGTTTTTTGTTTTTGTTTTTGAGACGGAGTTTTGCTCTTGTTGCCCAGGCCAAGTGCAATGGCGCAATCTGGGCTCACTGCAGCCTCCCTCTCCCAGGTTCAAGCGATTCTCCTGCCTCAGCCTCCCATGTAGCTGGGATAACAGGCATGCACCACCACACCCAGCTAATTTTGTATTTTTAGTAGAGATGGGGTTTCTCCATGTTGATCAGGCTGGTCTTGAAGTCCCGACCTCAGGTGATCCACCCACCTCAGCCTCCCAAAGTGCTGAGATTATAGGCATGAGCCACCGCACCCGGCCAAGTTTTCTTGGTTTTGATTAGAATTGTCAACTCAAAATGGCAACAGTAGAACAGTGATAATCCAGTAAAAATATAATGTGAGTCACATATGTAATTTTAAATTTTCTTTTCTTTTTTTTTTTTTTTTTGAGAAGGAGTTTCACTTTTGTTGCCCAAGCTGGAGTACAATGGTCCCATCTTGGCTCACTGCAACCTCCACCTCCCAGGTTCAAGTGATTCTCCTGTCTCAAGCCTCTGGAGTCGCTGGTATTACAGGCATGTGCCACCACACCTGGCTAATTTTGTATTTTTAGTAGAGACAGCGTTTCACCATGTTGGTCAGGCTGGTCTCGAACTCCTGAAGGTGATCTGCCTGCCTTGGCCTCCCAAAGTGCTGGGATTACAGGCGTGAGCCACCACGCCTGGCTGAAAATTTCTTTCTTTTCTTTTTTTTTTTTTTTTTTTTGTGAGACGGAGTCTCGCTCTGTCGCCCAGGCTGGAGTGCAGTGGCGCGATCTCGGCTCACTGCAAGCTCCGCCTCCCAGGTTCACGCCGTTCTCCTGCCTCAGCCTCCCGAGTAGCTGGGACTACAGGTGCCCGCCACCACGCCCGGCTAGTTTTTTGTATTTTTAGTAGAGACGGGGTTTCACCGTGTTAGCCAGGATGGTCTCGATCTCCTGACCTCGTGATCCACCCGCCTCAGCCTCCCAAAGTGCTGGGATTACAGGCGTGAGCCACTGCGCCCAGCCTCTTTTTTTTTTTTTTTTTTTTTTTGAGATGGAGTCTCTATCACCCAGGCTGGAGTACAGTGGCTCAGTCTCTGCTTACTGCAACCTCCACTTCCCGGGTTCAAGCGATTCTCCTGCCTCAGCCTCCTGAGTAGCTGGGATTAGGGGCATGCACCACCATGCCTGGCTAATATTTTTTGCTTTTCTTTTTTTTTTTTTTGAGATGGAGTCTCACTCTGTCACCTAGGCCGGAGTGCAGTGGTGCGATCTTGGCTCACTGCGAGCTCCGCCTCCCCAATTCAAGCCATTCTCCCACCTCAGCCTCCTGAGTAGCTGGAACTACAGGCGCCCGCCACCACACCTAGCTAATTTTTTTGTATTTTTAGTAGAGACAGGGTTTCACCGTGTTTGCCAGGATGGTCTCGAACTTCTGACCTCGTGATCCGCCTGCCTCAGCCTCCTAAAGTGCTGGGATTACAGGCGTGAGCCACCACACCCAGCCTAAATTTTCAAACAGACACATTCAAAAATGAAAACAGGTGAAATTATTTTTAATAACATATCTTAGCCCAATATATATTATATTTCTAACAAGTTCTCAGGTGATGCTGATGCTTCTTGTCTGTGGACCACCCTTTAAGACCCACCTACCTGGGAACTAATTTAATCATCTGACAGAGTGGGTCTACAAGTACATTTTCTAGAAAAAATGAATCATGAAGATAGATATTTTGAAAAACCAAACAATTACTAATATGAAAGCAGTAGAGTAAGAAAATGGGAGGTGCCTGCTGAGAGAAACTCACCCCATCTTTTAGCAACATCCATGTATAATCAATAGCACAAATAACACCAGTCCTTCCACAGCCAGCACTGAAATGAAAGATCACAGTAGCATGTATGCATGTATACCTAGAGAGAATGGACCATTGACAGTAGCTGGAAAATTTTACCAACAGATTTGAGGAAGAAGATGCCTGGGGACAATTAAACTTCCCAAACCCCACCATTTCCCAGAGCACATTTGTCATGCCACAGGTCCTAGGCAACATCTCAGAGCAAGAGTCTCTAGAGCTGTACTACTCACAAGTAACTTATCAGAAAAACATGAATTTAATGCTTAGGTTGAATTTATTGTCATTTGTTTCTGCTATTAACCTTTCCCCCTTTCAATTACAGAGTCCTGGCCGGATGCTGACATTTGGTTCATTCTAGGTAGAAGGTTTATACATAGCATCATACCTGCAGTGAATGCATATGGGAACACTGTCATCCTCTTGGTAACAACGTACATCCCAGATGAGCTCAAGAATAGGGTCTATAGATGAAGGTACATCATGGTCTGGCCAATTCTTGTAATGAAACTGGTAGATAGTTCGAGTGTCCTATAAAAAATAGTCAGATGGGAGGGGAAGAGGGGCAAGGGCAGAAAAACTACCTATTAGGTACTATGCTCACTACCTGGGGTGATGCGATTATTCCGTGGCACACAGTATTCCCATGTTACAAACCTGCACATTTACGCCCTTATGTATTATATTCATAAAATTAAAGTTGAGGCTGGGTGTGGTGGTTTACACCTGTAATCCTAGCACTTTGGGAGGCCAAGGCAGGCAGATTACTTGAGGTCAGAAGTTCAAGACCATCCTGACCAACATGGGGAAACCCTGTCTCTACTAAAAATACAAAAATTAGGCATGGTGGCGCACACCTGTAGTCCCAGCTACTGGGGAGGCTGCAGCACAAGCGTTGCTTGGACCCAGGAGGCTCAGGTTGCAGTAAGCCGAGATTGCACCACTGCACACTCCACACTCCAGCCTGGGTGACAGAGCAAGACTCTATCCCCTCCTCCCCCCCCCCCCAAAAAAAAGTTGAAATTATCTTAAAAATAGCCAGGATAATAAGACAACTGAAGGTTGGAACTCCACCTCATTATACCAAGACATCAGTCCGGCATACTAAGTTATATCTATATCCTTTTAGAAATTTATTCCAGTTTCTTCTCTATAAATCTCAGGTGACCAGATGCTTTCTGAAAACAATTAAAAGTGATTTCAGGTCACTTTTGACCCCATCTGCCCCATTCACAAGAAGCAATAGCTGGATGTGAAAATAGTTTAAACCAGTGTTTCCCAACTGGTATGCCTCAAATGTGTCACAATCATGCTGATATATTAAATCTCTTTGCCTTAGAGAAGCTGGGCAGGGCCTAGGGCAGCCTAAGCTCTCAAACTGGTCCCCAGTCTCTATGCACTGTTCAGCTTCTGTTCACCCTACAAATATTATCATTTTATATGTGTGTCATGGTAGAGAATAGATTGAAGACATATTATACCAATGGTTTCTTCTTTTTTTCTTCTTCTTTGAGACAAGGTCTTGCTCTGTCACCCAGGCTGCAGTGCAGTGGCACCATCTCGGTTCACTGCAACCTCTGCCTCCAGGGCTCAAATGATTTCTCCTGCCTAAGCCTCCTGACTAGCTGGAACCACAGGCATGCACCATCACACCCAGCTAATTTTTTTGTGTTTTTAGTAGAGACAGGTTTTTGCCATGTTGGCCAGGCTCAAAATTCTCTTGAATATGAAGACTCATTCACGACATCAAAGACCCTACCACTCCCCATTGTCTTATGCCCAGCCTGAGCTACACACATCTATATTTACTTGCCTGATCTCTATAGGCTTTTGATAAACTCAAAAGCCTTAGAGTTTTTATACTTACACTATTGAACTTAACTTTTAGAGTCCTGATTATATAATCAGATTTCCTTTTTTCAGCTTCCTAAAAAGAAAAAGAAGACTAAAATATTAGTGATTGCAAAGACAAGCTCACTATAAGGTAGACCCTGGAGGCTTTACTCAGACATGAGAACAGACATTATACTTACACAGGATATAGAGAAAGGGCCAAATTCCAGCTGCATCTCTCCTGGCTCAGCCCAGTAGCGCTCACACTTTTTCTGTTGCACAAAGCAGAATGCAGTGATTTCCCTCCATGTATTCTAGTCTCTTCGAGGGAATAAAACCCACTCCCTCATCTGGAAGCAAATTCAGCTCTATCCTTCACCTTAGGTTAGGTGCGTCTAACCCCCTTGGGCTTCAACCCCTACATTATTGGAATCTCCAAAGATGGGAAAACAAACATTAAAGGATATATAAATTACAGACTTCCTGGGAGTCTGAAAAAGTAGAAATAGAAATCTTTGACCTATTTTCAGTATTTCACAGGAACTAACAGAAATTACATGTCTACTAAAACAGCTGCACAAGCTAAGTGAAATACCTAGTTTCCTTGGTTTTGATTAGAATTGTCAACTCAGAATGGCAACAGTAGAACAGTGATATCCAGTAAAAATATAATGTGAGCCACAAATGTAATTTTAAATTTTCAAATAGACACATTAAAAAATGAAAAGAAGTGAAATTAATTTTAATAACATATCTTAGCCCTACATATCAAAACATTTTGACATGTAACCAATATAAAATAATTATCAGATATTTGGCATTTTTTACTAAGTCTTCAAAATCCAGTGTGTATTTTATATTTATAGCTAATCTCAATTAGGATGCCAAATTTTGGAAGTATTTTATTTCCATTTAGATTTAATAAAACATCTGAAAAATTTTCACATACTCAAACAGCTTTCTGATAGCTGAATTGCATGTCAGTTTTTAAGTTTAAATCAATTAAAATAATTGAGTTCCCCAGTCACATTAGCTGTATTTTAAATGCTCAATAGCTGTATGTGTCTGGTGGATGCAATATGGGACAGCACAGGATTAAAAGCTCCAGCTGGTAGTTAAAGATATCTGATTAATAGAAATGGGAAAGTGATTTGTTAATCTTGAAAGCATATTTTGTTTTTAACTTTAAAATATAGGGTCTACTGAGAAAACAAATAGGATTCTTATGAGAAAAAAAAAAATCCCCTGAGAATCACGTGGCATTGCAAAACTGAAAACTAGAAAGATGACATAAGTTTTATCTGGGCACACTTAGGTAAGTTCTGCTGCCAATTTCACCCTCCTTTTTCTTCTTTCCTTTGTTTGTAGGTCAGCAGGTACTAGTAAGTAACTTACCTTTCCCATTTCATACTCCATGCATGCCATAACAATGATCTGGGGGATGAAACAGATAGAAACTTAAACATTCATATATAGTTAGAAAGAGCAGTTAATACATGGATCCCAGAGTCAGAAAGTATTAACCATTCTTTTTTCTTTTGTGTGTGTGTTTTTTTTTTAAACCAAAAAAGAAATCCTGGTAACTTATAAAACATTGCTCTTACTCTTCCTTCATTCTGACAATACTTCCCCTTTCTCTGTTCAAACCAGTAATCTTGTTACCAAATGAACCTGTCAAGGTAAGAACTTTCTAATTTTTAAATTTATTTGTATTATTTTTTAAATTTTATTTATTTTTGAGACAGGGTCTCATTCTGTCACCCAGGCTGGAGTGCTGTGGCACAATCTCAACTCACTGTAGTCTCAACCTCATGGGCACAAGCAATCCTCCCACATCAGCTTCCTGAGTAGCCGGGACTATAGGCACACACCACCATTCGCAGCTAATTTTTGTATTTTTTGTAGAGACAGGGTTTTGCCATATTGCCCAGGCTGGTCTAGAACCCCTAGGCTCAAGCTATCCACCCCTCTTGGCCTCCCAGAGTACACCTGCCTGAGAACTTTCATTTCCTTAGACAAGAATGGCATTGTGATTCTGACTAAAAGAGGCCTGAACCCTGAAGTTCCACTGACCAATTTTTTAAAGGCACTGTTTTTAATAAAGTAGAGAATAAAGTAACAGAAGCAACGCTATACTTACAAGGATGCTGTATTCCCAAATCATCCTCCAGAAGTCCAGGAGGGTTGTAGATAAAGGACCCTGGGTGGCAATATAAGCCTTGGGTCCATAAACTCCCTAAAGGGGAACAGAAATTACGTGGCGTGACTACAGATAATACCGTGTTCTCACCTAGTCCTCCCCTTCCCCTTTTTTTTTTTTTTTTGAGACAGTCTCACTGTGTTACTCAGGCTGGGGTGCAGTGGCGTAATCACGGCTCACTGCAGCCTTGACCTCCTGTTCTCAAGCAATCCCCTTACTCAGCCTCTCCAGTAGCTGGGACTACAAGCACATGCCACCACACCTGGCTAATTTTTTAACTTTTTGTTGAGATGGGGTCTCATATGTTGCCCAGGCTGGTCTCAAATTCTTGGGTTCAAGTGATCCTCCCGCGTCAGCCTCCCAAAGTGCTGGGATTACAGGCATGAGCCACTGAGTCCAGCCAGCCCTCCCCTTTTTTTAGGTATCTAGAGAAATGTGGACTGCTTTTATTTTCTTTCTTTTTTCTTTCTTTTAGATGGGAGTCTGGCTCTTGTCGCCCAGGCTGGAGTGCAGTGGCCTGATCTCAGCTCACTGCAACCTCCACCTCCCAGGTTCGAGCAATTCTCCTGCCACTGCCTCCTGAGTAGCTGGGACTACAGGCGCACACCATCACGCCTGGCTAATTTGTGTACTTTTAGTAGAGACAGGGTTTCACCATGCTGGCCAGGCTGGTCTTGAAACCCTGACCTCTGGTGATCTGCCCACGTTGGCCTCCCAAAGTGCTAGGATTACAGGCATGAGCCACTGTGCCCGGCTATTTTCTTTCACTGTACCTTAATGAAGTTGGCATTGATGTAGCTGGAATCCTCATCAGAGGTTATCAGGGATAGTTCTACTCGGCTATAATCATCTATAATACAAAAGACAGACATAGTATAATTAAGAGAGCTTAGTCAGCAGATTTAAGTCAGGGCCTAACACTGTGGATAGTGTATGCTCATGAGTGAACAAGTGAATGAATGAATGAATGAATGAATGAATATTCTTTTGCAGTCATAAATAGTACAAACTAAGTTGTCAATACTATGTTCCAAGATCAGGATCAGTAAGCAGTGGGTACAAAGAGATAGTAATGATTGAGTTTGGGAGAAAGTATGAGTTTATAGAGAGAAATGGAACTTACAGGGTAAAATATCCTTATATCTGTTTTTCTTGATATTCATGGGCCTCTCAGCCACAGTTGTAGGATAGGTTTTGTCTGCCTTGTACTTGGTAGATTGCCTTTTCAGCTTCTGTAATAAGATTCCAAGAATAATTAATCTTCATAGAGAAATGAGGTAAGAAGCTATCTCTAAAGAGCTTTCCTTTTCCACTGGCAAAACATTCTACCTCAACCCTTTTATTATCTTCTGGTTCTGACTCCATTCAGGACAGAGCTGCAGAGCATAAAGAGACCTGAGTTCAGTGACATTTGGGGAAGTGAAAAGATCACACTTACTGCAGCTGAGCCATAGATAGCGTGAACTTAAAGGTGAAAGTTGTGAATATTTTAAGAACCAAATATCTTCTGGAAGCAAGCTATATGCTCCACCCAACAGGCAGATATTAAAAGCTTAATTTACTTTCTTCATAACTGCTTTTTAGTTAAATGGTCAACTGGAAAATTATTAAGTTCCGTTAGTCTTTTTACTTCAGATCACTTTTTTTTTCCCCAAGTAGAAGTGGAGCTTAAGCTGAATAAAATCTGTCTGTATCTAGCAAAATTTCAAAGATTTCAGTTCCAAAAGCAGTCACTTTTTTTTTTTTTTTGAAATAGAGTTTCACTCTGTCATCCAGGCTGGAGTACAGTGGCTTGGTCACAGCTCAATGCAGCCTCAACTTTCTGGGCTCAGGTGATTCTCCCACCTCAGTCTCACCTCCCACCTCAGCCTCACCTCCCACCTCAGCCTTACCTCCTGAAAGCTGGGACCACAGGCGCGAGCATCACACCCGAATAGTTCTTGTATTTTCAGTAGAGAAGGGATTTCACCATGTTGCCCAGGCTGGTCTCAAACTCCTGGGCTCAAGCAATCCACCTTCCTTGGCCTCACATAACTTTTATTACAGTATATTATCATAATTGTTCTATTGTATTACTAGCTATTATTGCTAATCTCTTGTTGTGCCTAAATTATAAATTGACTTTAATTATAGATATGTATGTATAGGTAAAAACAACATAGTATGCATAGGATTTGGTACTATCTGCAGTTTCAGGTATCTATTGTAGGTCTTCAAACACATCCTCTGTAGAGAGAGCCTACTGTAATTTGAATTCCTCTAGATTTTCAGAACTGGATTTGAGAGGAGAGATACTGAACTGATATCTTTTTGTTTGTTTGTTTGTTTGCTTTACTTTGAACCCCAAGAAGCTATTGAACTATCTTTATACCATATTTTTACTTCAAGATGGATATGGATACAAGTGGACTAATTTGGGAATTTAAGGACACATGAAAGACTATGCTGAATTTCAGCTGAAGTTACACCAATTTTTCAAATCTCCCTGCTCTTAAGCAACCCCAGAATGATCATTTTCAGGTTGCTGCTGATCCCAGGGCTGCTGAAAAGATCTCAAGTCCCAGAACAGTTTCTTCTAGGAATCTCTAGAACTAAGCTCAGTGCATACTCCTTGTTATACTGTTTTTATTTATTTTTGTTTTATTTTGCTTTTGGAACGCTTTCTAGGGAGAATGCTATACACAAACTCCTTTGCGTAAGATATGCTTCAATTAATTTGGCAAAATGTTATAGATAAATGTGATGGATGTGTGTGTATGTGTCCTATATTTGTTTAGCTGCCTTCACTGCCACCTTCAACAATGAGGCAGAATGGCTTTTATTTGTCCTACTCCTTTTCTCCCCCTGGAGTAATCTAGCTGGATGACAAAGGGAGACACTCTTAGCAAAACGTCACATAGGAAATACTTACAGAATAATTCATTTGTAATGTATGAAAGATTTGATTTTTTTTCCTTCAAACATCTTAAGGTCATACCACTGTGAAGACTTCCTTTTTCTTTCTGCATTTTTTTTTTTTTTTTTTTTTTAGACAGTGTCTCGCTCTATTGCCCAGGCTGGCATGCAATGGCATAGTCTCAGTTCACTGCAACCTCTGCAGCATGGGTTCAAGCAATTCCCATGCCTCAGCCTCCCAAGTAGCTGGGATTACAGGCGCCTGCCACCACGCCTGGCCAATTTTTTGTATTTTTAGTAGAGACAGGATTTCACCATGCTGGCCAGGATGGTCTTGATCTCCCGACCTCGTGATCTGCCTGCCTTGGCCTCCCGAACTGCTGGGATTACAGGCGTGAGCCACCGCGTCCAGTCAATTTTCTTTTGTATTTTTAGTAGAGATGGGGTTTCGCCATGTTGGTCAGGCTGGTCTTGAACTCCTGACCTCAGGTGATCCCCCCACCTCGGCCTCCCAAAGTGCTGGAATTACAGGCGTGAGCCACCGCGCCCGGCAGGCTTCATTTTTCTCTTCCACCTCTCTTCCTGCCAGACACCTGGGATCCAATACCCCAACAAAGAACACATTAGGGCAGAATTAGGGCAGAAGAAGTGATAAACTACACCAGAAAAGGAGGAACTCTGAGAGTAGAAAGCAAAAGGGTATAAAAGAGGAAGCAGGGTTATGGGGATGGGTTTAAGTTTGGGAAGAAAAGATACGAGATCTAAAGGGTGAAGTTATTTCTCTGCCAAGTACAAGGTAGGGGGTGTGAGTTCCCTAGAAGAGGTACCATCAAGAGAAGGCGGGAATAGTTGCCAAGAGGATAAAGTGAAGAGGCTGGGTGTGGTGGCTCACACCTGTAATCCCAGCACTTTTGGAGGCCAAGGCAGGCAGATCACTAGGTTGGGAGTTCGAAATCAGCCTGGCCAACATAGTGAAACCCCATCTCTACTAAAAATACAAAAAAAAAAAACAAAAAAACAAAAAAAACATTAGCTGGGCGTGGTGGCTGACCCCTGTAATCCCAGCTACTCAGGAGGCTAAGGCAAGGAGAATCGCTTGAACCTAGGAGGAAGAGGTTGCAGTGAGCCGAGATCACGCCACTGCACTCCAGCCTGGGTGACAGTGTGAGACTCCGTCTCAAAAAAAATAAAAATAAAAAAGAGAATAAAGTGAAGAGAGAGCTCAGCATCCCTTGTGGGCCCTGAAATAGGGTGGAATATGTGAGAAACCAGATTCTGTGTATGCTTGATAAGCTAATAGTAAGTTCATTTGGTTTGTAGATGATACTAACCCTTTTGTTTCAAGAAAGGAGAGGAGAACGGGGATCCTGGCCAGTATAACAAGGAGTACTAGATTCTAGAAATTCGGATTGAGTCATTTGCATGTTATTCTCATAGACTAGAAAATAAAATAAAGTCACTCCCAAAAAAGAACAGAAAGTAAAAGAAAGTACAAGACCACGATATCTTTGCCTTGAAGGACTACATTATTGGATAGAAGACATAGCATTTTAGAGACATTTTAGAGAGAGGAAAATCAAACTTGGCCCTCCTGTGCTAGGTGGGAGAACACAAAGTTTGGTTGTCTCCAGAACTTTGCAAGGTAGTTCCTCCGTGCCTTGCAAATATAGGTCAGTATTATCCCAAGCCTCCATCAGGACAGAAAAAGCGCGAGTGGTAAGGAATGGCATTAGGAATTCAGGCCTCTAAATCCAGTAATCAGGAGAACTACCAACAGGAATGGAGGACAAGACTGAATTGTCTGAGCGTGCAATGCAATCATCTTCAACAAGATCAACAAACTTATCGAGGTTAGTTTCCAGTGCAATAGTGGGGCAAATGGGTAGGTGGGTAGGCAATAGCTAAATTGGGGTGAGTAAACCAAGAGGTTCAACTTTAGATACATAAAATGTGAGAAAATGGCAAGAAATGTGTGTGTGTGTTTGTTGGTTGGTTTGTTTTTGAGACAGAGTCTTGCCTTGTCGCCCAGCAGAGAGTGCAGTGGCGCAATCTTGGCTCACCACAACCTCTGCCTCCCAGGTTCAAGTGATCCTCCCGCCTCAGCCTCCTGAGTAGCTGGGATTACAGGCACCTGCCACCGTGCCCAGCTAATTTTTGTATTTTTTTTAGAGATGGGGTTTTACCACGTTGGCCAGGCTGGACTTGAACTCTTGACCTCAAGTGATCCGCCCGCCTCAGAGTCCCAAAGTGCAGGGATTACAGGCGTGAGCCACTGTGCTTAGCCAAGAAATGTGTTTTAAGTGTCCTGTGAGTAAATGAAAATATAGGACTAGATGGTCCCTAGTGAGAGACTGGAGTTGGAGTTAGAGAAGTCAGCTTCAGAGGTGATATGATACATTTATTCTGGTGGTGGCATTTTTAAAAATTGCACATTAATGTGCAAAAAGGTCAAGAAATGCTGATAGATATGTTCAAGTGATAGGCTGATTCCTAGGAATGAGTAGTGTCAATTCATAGATGTTTGTGCACTTGCTCTGTAGGATGTACCATGTTGATAACTGTTTGGTTAGTATCATTACTGTAATACATACAGAACCAGGATGCATCTATGTCTCCTTTATAGAACCAAGATGTAACCAGAGCTTTGATCTGTCTCTGGTCTTCTATTGAGTCTCCAGAAGTTGCTATAGTACCAGTCTGAATTCTAGTATATTTTAAACCGTTAGCACTTAAACCTGGCCTTCAGAACTAGTTATCTTCTTTCTATTGGGATTCAATGAATCGTTCATATTTAATAAATGCCTTTTTTTTTTTTTAAGATGGGGTCTCACTCTGTCATCCAGGCTAAAGCGCAGTGGCGCGATCTCGGCTCACTGCAACTTCGCCTGCAGTGAATCACTTGTGGTAAGCCAAGATCGCGCCATTGCACTCTGGTCTGGGCAAAAAGAGCAAAACTCCGTCTCAAAAAAACAAACCAACAAAAAAAAAACTGAAATTGTGGTAAGTGCTATGAAAAATAACATATGGTGCTAATAAGAACTTATAATAGAAGATTTGATCTATTCAAAGAGGTCTAGAAAGCTTTCTCTGGCCAGATGTGGTGGCTCATGGTTGTAATCCCAGCACTTTGGGAGGCTGAGGCTGGAGGATCACTTGAGTCCAGGAAGTCAAGTCTGCAGTGAGTTATGATCAAGCCACGGCACTCCAGCCTGGGTGACAGAGCAAGACTCTGACTCCAAAAAAAAAAAAAAGGAAAGAAGAAAAGAAAAGAAAGCTTTCTCTGAAGAAGTGACCACCAAATTGAGATCTAAAGAATTATTAGTCGGGCATGGTGGCT